GGAGACAGAGCCTGGGAAGGGACAAAGACAAGCACGGAACCGCAGATACACGCTAATTACCTCACCCTCCTCCTGTGTGGGGCTGCAGGCAGCGCCCGGCAGCCTAATCATGATTTCATCTCGCAGCCTTCCTTCCACTTGTTTTTTTTTTTTTTCTTACAAAGTCCATTGCAGTTCTATTTTGCTTTAGGAAGTAGAGACGGGATCTATCTTTAGGACGCTGAAATGCCAACTGAGCTCCGAGGAGCATAACTGAGGAGTGAAGAAGAGTTGCCCTGACCAGGACAAATATCAAATCACAAATATTTGAAATTCTTCCCCTCTGTGCCCTGAGAGAGGAGTCTTTGTTTGCTGAACTGGCTCCCAGAACCATTTGGCCCTTGTCCTGCTGCAAGGGATACTGAGTGGGGGAGGAGAAGCCAAAGGCAGGCAAAATATTAGTCAAGTACCTACTATGTATCAAGTCTCTCTGTTAGATGTTAGAAAACGGACTGTGAGTACCACAGACCCCTGCCTGCAGGAAGCCTACACTCTATATTTTTTTGAACTGAAGTCTTGTGGTCAAATATTATTCATCACTGTTACATAGCCGATCTCTATGAATTTTCCTTCTTGCAAAATTGAAACTCTATACACCCATTAAATCACTCCCATTTCGCTCATCCGCAAGGTTTTGGCAACTGAGGTTCACTTTCCAGCTCTATGAATTTATTTTAGGTACTCATATAAGTGAAAGTGTAGAGTAACTTCTCTTTCCTGTGATTAGCTTGTTTCACCCAGCACAGTGTTCTCAAGGTCCATCCACATCTTAATGGTCAGAGTTCCCCTTCTGTGTTAAAGCTGAATGATATCACATCCCATGTACACCTCGTTTACTTCTCCGCTCTTCTACTGGTGGACGCAGGCAACTTCCCCCTCTTGGCTATGGTGCATAATGCTGCTAAGAACACGGGCATACAACATCGCTTGACATTGACCTTCCTTCTCTTCTTGTCTCTGTTTCCTCTTCCTCCTGATCAGCTCTTACAATGTAGCCTAGGCTGGCCTTGGACCCATAATCCTACAGCTTCAACATGAACTCATATTTCTGATCGAGGTATTGTCCTACGTCCTAGAAACACTTGTTCTCAGCTCAAAGTAATGGCTGTTGTACGAGCCTGGTTTGCATTGCTTTAACGAAATACACAGTGCTGGGTACCTTTATGGAGAAAGGAGACTCATTTGGCTTATAGTTCTGGGCGTCAAAGAGCCTGCATCCGGTGATAACCTTCTTGCTGCCACAGCTGCAAAGTAGCACAGAATGTCACATAACAAGAGACAAGGTATGTGTGTGTTTTCTGGTCTCTCTCCTCTTAGAAAGCCAGCCCACTCTGTTCAGTCACCAGGGCTCCATGGCAATAAGCCTATTCTTGACCACCTACCAACAGGCTCCATCTCAAAGCACTGTGGCCATGGTCATGTCAACCCACCATGCCCAGCTAAGGGAACAGCAATTCTGAAAAAGATTTTATTTGATTTTTTGATTGTGTGAGTGTGTGTGAGTACACACATGGGGGATATGTGCATGTGAGTGCAGTACCTAAGTCAGTCAGAAGAGAAGTGGATTTTGTTTGTTTGTTTGTTTTGTGAGAAAATGTTTCTCTGTTTAATATTACTGGCTGTCCTGGAACTCACTTTTGTAGACTAGGCTGGCCTCAAACTCACAGAGATCCACCTGCCTCAGCTTTTGAGTTCTGGGATTAAAGGCTTGTGCCACTACCGCTCAGCTGAGAGCTGGAATTTTCAGCAGTTGTGAGAAAGCCTGATCTGGGTGCTGGAAAGTGAATTCAGGCCGGCTGCAAGAGCAACTGTACCGCTCTTGGCAACTGTACCGCTTTTCTAGGCCCTAAACGAATACTCTTTCAAATTTTATACTACCCATAGGCCCAATTCAATCTTATTCTTCTTATTCTTATTCTTCTTATTATTATTATTTCATGTGTGTGGGTGTTTAACCTGCATGTATGTTTGTGTACCACATATGTGTCTAGTGTAGACATCAGATCCCCTGGAATTGGAGTTACAGGAGGTTGTGAGCAGTCATGTGGGTGCTGGGAATCGAATCCAGGTCCTTTGAAAGAGCAGCCAGTGCTCTAACTGCTGAACCATCTCCCCAGTCCACCAATTTTTAATTGTCCAGAGATCTGTGTTGTTTACCCTTTTAGGTCTATTTCCTGTACAGTGTGAGCACATAGTAGGAGTTCAAAAAAATTCTGTTAAACAAAATATTTTTGTACTTGTTAGTCACCACTGTTGCAGCTGTCTGCTTTACATATTTTAATAAATAAGTTTTGCAATGTTAATGACTGCTATTTTGATTATATTTACATACTAAGTTTATATAAAGAGAGTAGTACAAAAAATATCTAGACCTCAATCAAAATTCACTTTCTAGATGAACTACCACTGACAATTCCTTCCACCCACTTCGTCAAAAATTAGCACCTGTCACTCTTACCCCTTTCTGTTCCTTAGGTCATGACACTGCACAGACCTGGAGGACACTCACCAGGAGTCTCCTTGGTCCATGGGACCTTGTCTGAAGGAAGCCAGGTATGGGCTTGAAACGTGCTTGGCTCAGCTTAAAAGCTTTCACAGAGCATCACTTTCTTCAAGGCACAGGATGAACAAGGCCAAGCCTCAGGCCTGGGAGAACTCACAGAACCATAGCTCTGTGGTCATTCTCCACTACAATTAGGCAAGAGGCCTCCACTGTCTCGGGTGTAGAAAATAGCATTTCTCACTGTCCTCCATTAGCCAGATGACAAGCACAATAAAATTAGTGTTCAGAAAGCACCAGGACCTGAAGGACACTGGGGAAATTCTGAGAAGCTACATAGTTACTGCTCTGTTGCTGTGATAAAGTACCATGGCTATAAGCAACTTAAGGAAGAGTTTGTTTGGGCTTACAGTTCCAGAGCGTTAAGAATCCATCCATCTTGGCCAGCAGGCATGGCAGCAGGAGCTGGAAGCTGAAAGACCACTCCTCAACCACAAACATGAAGGAAAGAGACAGACAGACAGACAGACCAGAGACAAAGACAGGGAGAGAGGGAAGGGGAAGGGAGAGAGAAAGAGAAAGAGACAGACAGGGAAGGAAGGAGAGGGAGGGCACGCACGCACGCACGCACACCACAAACCAGAAATAGAATGAGACTGAATTCTCAAAGCCCATCCACAGTGATGTACGTCCTCCAGCAAAGCCACACCATCTCCCCGAACAGTGCCACCCACTGGGGACCAAATGTCCGAGTACCTGTGCCCACGGAGGATATTCTCATTCAAACCACCACAGCAGCACTGTCTTTGGTGATAATTACTGTGGCAAGTGCCAGCAGTGGCTGAGGCCACTTCTCTATTCCTTTTCAAAAGGCATGGTAGAATTCAGATTTGTGTACCTAAGCCTGCTCGGCTCCTAACACAAAGCAGTGGTTCTTGTGTTCGCCTTACTATAGAAAAAAATGTGTGAGGCTCAATCACTTTATAAAGAATCCAAGTTCATTTAGCTTAGGGTTGAGGTAGTTCTGAGGTTCAAGAGCCTGCATCTGATCATCACCTTGCTTGCTGTCAGGTTCCCAGAGTAGCATAAGATGTCATATAGCAAGAGACAAGGTGTGTGTGTGTGTGTGTGTGTGTGTGTGTGTGTGTGTGTGTGTGTGTGTGTGTGTCTGTCTGTCTGTTTGTCTGTCTGTCTGTCTGTCTGCCTATCTGCCTGTCTGTCCTGGTTGGTTTTTCTCCCCCTTAAAAAGCCACCAGTGTTAGTCCCAGGGCTCCACATGGATGACCTTATCTAATCCCAGTCAAAGGCTCCACTTCCAAACATTGCGGTTAAATTAAATTTCTACTCTGTTAATATCTGAAAAATGAGGGTTAAATTTCAGCACATAAGCCCCCAGAGGATACATACCAATTATATCCACATCATAACCATTATTAAAATATAAAAGAAAAAATTGGTCCAATATATAACATTTTTCTATGGGCCAGAAATGCAATGTGAAGACTGAGGCTGAAGACAGGGCCCTGAGGGGCCTGAGGGTCTGAAAGCTGGTGGGGGATATCATTGGAGAACGGGTGGAAAGCCAGGTCCGGTGATTAACAATGTGAGCTCGAGTGAGAGCCCCACCCACACAGGCTTGTTAAAGAGCCCGGAAGGTTGCCTGACGTCTGCTGGTGAGCCTCCCACCAGGGATACACAAGACAGAAAATTACAATCAACACATCCCTGTGACTGCATCTATCTGCTATCCCAGAATGGCAACGGAAATATTAATTCTCCTCATTTGGGTATTCTAACTGTCTATGAAGAAGGCCAAGCAGGGCTCAGAACACCTGCAATCCTAGCACTCAGGAGGCTGGGAGGGAAGAGGCGACCTAACAAGATCCAATCTTAGTGCCACTCTCTCTCCCCAAATGCAAAAGGTTCTACGGAAACATTAAATATTAAAGATGCTCATGAATCAGAACATTCATTACCATAGGAGTTAGGTCTCCTCAAGCCAACGTTTACTTTCAACGTGCACTGGAAAAAATCCAATCTGATTGGAAACATGTCAATGATCACAAAATCCACATCAAGAATAAAAGTTCAGGGTGGGCAAGATGGCTCAGTATGGTAAGGCACTCACCACAAAACCTGACAAATTGAGTGCAATCTCTGGGAGCCACATGGGAGAGGAAGAAAAACATCCCCTGAAAATAGTCCCTGACCTCTACACACACACACACACACACACACACACACACACACACACACACACACACACTATAATTTAAAAATAAAAGTTCAAACAGTAGTTGTAAATAACAGAATACACAAAATAAAGTGACTTCAGCAGTAAGAAATTCATTATTTCAGCTCACAAGAGACCCAACATTGGTTACTGCACTCCCATGATGATGTCATAAGGGCCTGCGACCTTTTTATTCAGGCAGTCTCAGTGAGCCAGCTTCCGGTGCATCTCCTGCAGTGGGAAGACGGCTGCCAGAGTGTCAGCTTGGTATTTCTCTCCAATTGCATACAAAAATAAGAAGGGTAAGTCTCTTTCTTATGTACTTTTTAAAATAAGAGGACCCTTCCCAACCTCCTCCACTTTTACTTTAACATAATTCCATCTAGTTCTCATTGGAAAGATATTGAACCCATCCTATGGGATGGATTTAGACTACACAGCATGGGTTCAGGGTCCACAGATGCCTGAGAACAATGGGGATTCCCAGTTAGAAAGTCGAAAGAGATGCCATCTGTTGGACAGATAGTCTACCATGATAGCCAAGAAACTGAAGAAAAATAATAAGTCTGGACATTGTTCTACCAAATATCAAAATTTAAAATCAGAGATGGCACAAGAAGTCAGATTTGAAAAAAACGAATAGGTATGTGTTGGAATAATTGTATACGTATACACTATTTTACCCCATAACAGCTTAACTTGATTGAAAGACTTAAATGTGAACACTAAAGTTATGTAGTCCTTGGAGAAACTATAGATTATCTTTACATACTTGGGATGGGAAAGGAATCAAATAAAGCACAAAAGTATAAAACCTGAAAGACAGTACTACTGTATCTCAGCAATTCAAAATAAAAGGATGCCAATTACTCAATTACTGGGCAAGCCTCAATGAAACATTTCACTATTAGGATAAGAATTTGTACTGTATCAAGCTGATAGCAGAAAAATAAATAAATAAATATATATATATATATATATATATATATATATATATATATTAAAAATAAAAGGATGTCATTACCAAAGTAAATAAGATAAACTTAGGTATTTTCCTAGATGTAAAATCATCAACGTGCTAGTATTGAAAATTATAATGGTCTTAGAGAGCAATAAAAAAAACTAGAAAGAAAATTGCTGAAAGGTTTGGATAGACAAATCCCAGAAGAAGGAGAAGCCTACAGACCAAACACACAAGGAAATGTTCACTCTCAATAGAAACTCCGGTAAAACGAAACTTTAAATGTCACCATTCATATCTATAAATTGGCAACAGGATCTTTAGTTCTGAATATACCTGATGTTTAAAAGACATAGATAAACAGAACTCCTGGGAAACCAAAATCAAAACTTCCATGCCAGTCAATGCTGAGACCCAGTAGCCCCAACTCTTGGGTCCACCGCCTGTCTTAGTGGATCTCAGCCGAAGTGGTTCTGCTCCTGAGGAAACACCTACCGGTGTTGAAGACGACTCTTCTTGTCCCACACGGGAAGCAGCGGTGCTCCAGGGATCTAGGGGAAGGAAGGGAGGGATACTGATTGGCGGATTGCTCCTCAACAAATGTTAGCTGCAGCACTACTTGCTAGAGCAAACAGTAAACTAAAAAATAACCCACTAGTTCTTGAAGTAAGAGAATAGAGTAACTTGAAGAAAGTCCAATGGGGCACGGATTTACAGCAGTTGTAAGAAAGGAGTTTATTCTTTGTGTTGCATTATGGAATCTAAAAACTGATGATGAATAAAAAATACATGGTGATGATATATTTTACATTTTATACTCTATAAACAAAGCAGTACTGTATATATACTGTCTGTTAATACATCCATATAATGAGAGTATAAATGCATACATGGGAATGACTTATAATTTATAACAACTTCAAGATAACAGTTACTTTTGGGGAGAGAGGAGGAAAGAGATTGAGATAGGAAGGAACTTCAACAATACTTAAAGACTTCTTACAACAGAGCCACAAATAATTCAAACACTAAGATCTGTGCGGGTGGGTGTTGTGAGTGCAGATGTCTGATAAAGCATTTAATGCTTGTCTGAGATGTTTCATAATAAAGATATATTTAAACATTTTAGGAGTTACATTTGCAAAAATGAGGTGTGTGTGTGTGTGTGTGTGTGTGTGTCTGTGTGTGTGTCTCTGTGTCTGTGTGTCTGTGTGTCTGTGTCTGTGTCTGTGTGTCTGTCTGTCTGTGTCTCAGAAGTTTAGTGTAGGGAGTCCAGGCTTCTGGGAGAATCTTATCCCAAAGGAAGAGAGTAAGAGAAGTGGCCTCTCTGGAAACAGAACATGCCTGTGCAAAGACCCTTCTCCAGAGTTTCTTGGCTTGGGGAAAACTGGCTTTTCTGCAGACTGGGACCTGGCAGCTGGACCACTGTCCATGGTCCTATTCTGCCCCGGCAGAATTCAGAGGCAAGCTCAACTCTGCTTTGCAGGAAGACGTGCAAGTGTTGTAGATAAAGCTGGGGAGCAGAGTGAAGGGAAATGTGGACACAGCTGGCTGGGTATTCGGACAGAAGCTCCTCCTACCTGCAGCAGATGCGGCTAGCGGAAAGGGATCTGTCTGGAAGGCCATTCTCTGGTTAAAGAACAGCTTCCCACAGTGAGGCACTGAGGCCTACTTGGTGAGACAGGGCTGTCATAGCCTCAGCAACTCACATTTACAGCCACGAGCTTTCCTGTTCCAATGCCTTTCACTGTTTCTTTCCCAAAGACTAGTCGATATTCATTCTTGCTTATGCAGAAATGCATAGAGACTAGCAAGTCCTCTCCCAGGCTCAGGGTCTATTAGCCAATATTTTGTCCTAAGTCAGTGAAGCTAAGAGAAAGGCATGAGGAACTCAACCAGGAAAGATGTTTTATGGGCATCTCAGAGTAATTGCCCATATTTTTTAAAAAGAAACAACATTTCCTGGGATCCCAGGAGGTGTCTGGCGTCACACAAAGTGATCTGAGCATGAGAGTGCAGAATACAATGTTTGGGAACACAGTGCTCCTCAGGGACTTAAAATTAATGCAGATCCAAAACAGTGCTTAACAAATACAAGAGCTGGTTGGAATAAATAGGGAAAGACAAAGTGAAAGGCGTAGGGCCCCACCCCACACCCCACTGATAAGCTGGGAGAATGAGAAAGCAGAAAACGCCAAGCCAGTGGACCCGGGGAGAACATAGACTCACAGGATGGGCAGAGTACAAGGATATTTACCCTGAAAAGCCAATGTTTTAGACTTGGTTACTTGTACACACACACACACACACACACACACACACACACACACACACACACACACACTCCAATAGCTATTTCTAAGAAGCCACGGGCAAAAAAAAAATCACTCCCCACCAAACAAAACCCCTCAAGAGCCCCCCACTTGTTATTTTCTGCAGATGGAGTCAAAACCATCTGGTACACAGAGAAACTGTTTGGGGAAAAAGCTCTAGTGTCAGCAGACGTAATGACCAAAACTGAGAACGGAACCCTGGGTAAGAGCTCTAATGGAGACGGGTGCAATCGGGTTGTGGATGGTGATTTTTATCAGCAAGAAGAAACTGTGCTAAAAGCTCCATTTGGCGTACTTTAGGTTCCTTGGTAAGCTAGTGAGGAATTTTCACAAGGCTGTTTGTTATGTAATGGAAGAGAGGCAGCAGTACATGAATGCTGTGCTACATAGGTAAGGAAGTATCCAAACAGAAATGAGTTCTCTGGGACTGTGTTGTTGTACCAGCAAGGTGAAGGTCACTGGAAATGCAGGGACCTTCCTGGTCCTCAGACTGAGCTTTCTCTACCATTGCAGCCTGACTGTGTTTCCTGCTTTAACTTCAACCTTGCTAACCTAAGCATACTAGAGGGGTTGGTTTTTAGGGGATTCAGTTGTTTAAAAGTATTTTTATTTTTTAATTATGTGTGTGTGCATGTCTGCATGTGGGGGGGTGGGGGGGTATGTACAGGTGAATACAGGCACCCAGGGAAAACAGAGGTATTGGATTCCTTTGAGCTGGAGTTACAAGTGGTTGTGAGCTGACTCATTCAGTTTAGGACTGAACGTGGGTCTTTCTGCAAGAGCAGTTTGTGTGCTTAACCACTGAGCCATCTTTCCATCTCCCAAGAGTCAGTTGTACACACTAATGTCCAGCTTCTAATTTGGGGACTTTATGACCACTGCAATCTGCTCACCTTGACATTTGCAAGTTCATTCCAGTATTATAATCATATGCTACATGTCTCTATGTGTAGATTTAAAGGGTCTAGAACTTTTATTCCAGTGTGCAAGGTAAATCATGGGACAGTTACTTCCACATAAATATCTAAAGGGCATCTCAAAACTGGCATGGTCAAAGGATAATTCTTGTTTGTTTTCTTAAAATTCTTGTATCAGATAAAATAATGGGCTGAAAGGGAGGTTAACCTTTTAATTATTTTTAATAAACGAGATGTTTGGCTGGAATGTAGCTTAGTGGACAGAGTGCTTGTCTAGAATGCACAAAGCCCTGGATTCGATCCCCAGCATTGCATATGACCAGGACAGTGACAGTGCATAACCCTAACAACTAGAGAGGGAAAGGCAGGAGGAGCCAAAGCTCTCACTGATCCTCAATCTTCAAGTACATAGCAAGTTCAAGGCTTGCCTGGAGTTACGTAAGACTGCAGATCAATAAATGATTAATGGTATTGCTTCAACCACTCAACCATACCATTTAGGACACAGGGATTCTTTCTATCTTGCCATCCTTAACGTGTTGATCTTTAATTTTCATGCCTTTTGTCTTAAAATCAGGACGTCTACCACGGTTCCAACAGTGGTAATGGATCTCCAGACAGCTGCATGTATCCCCAAAGGCTTTCCCTCAGATCTCATTAGCTAGGAATAAGACTCCCTTAGCTGCAAAGAAGACGGGGAATTGAGTATCTATCAAAAGAGGATGGGATTTTTATGACTGAATCACACCACTGTGATTCATCACTTGGTGGTAGGTGGACTGTCATCCGAAGCAAGCCAGGGCTCGGCTAGTAAGGAGGGAGAGAGGGATGGCTACTGGGAAGGAAATAACAGACTCTGCTCCTTACTTCCGGGAGAAGGTTTCCGAGTTCCTGGAGCTAGAGTTACAGGCCATTGTGTGCGGCCAGGTTTGGGACTGGGAACAAAACTGAGGTCCTCTGGAAGCTCAGCAAGTGCCGAGCCATCTCTCAATGTCCAAGGATGTGTTTGTTCTCACTTAGCTCTTGACTGTCAACGTGACTAACCACTTGAGTTCCGGTCTTGACTGCCCCAGAGTGACGGACTTGGAACT